AAAAAAAAAAGTCTCATGGATTTTCCCACCCAGGCTGGCTTTGAACTGAGATCCTCCAGATCTCAACCTCCCTGAGGAGCTGGGATGACAGTCATGAGCTGATGGCATTTGGCCTATTATTATTATTTTTTGTCAACGCTTTTTGTTATCTCCCATTTCTCCTACCTTAGGTTATTTCTGGACAACAGCTGCCAAAAGTCAATAAGAACAAGAATTCCATCGTGGACCCCAAGGTGACGGTGGAGATACACGGCGTGGGCCGGGACATGAGCAGTCGCCACACGGCTGTGGTCACCAACAATGGTAAATGGGGCCAGCCGGTGGGTGGGCCAGCTGGCCAGTGGGCAGGCCTGGCTCCCAGAGCCACTGTCTGTCCGTGCCCTGACTATGACGAGGCCTGTTCCCAGGCTTCAACCCCTGGTGGGACACAGAGTTTGAGTTCGAAGTGGCGGTGCCGGAGCTCGCCCTGGTGCGGTTTATTGTGGAGGATTACGATGCCTCCTCGAAGAACGACTTCATCGGCCAGAGCACCATCCCCTGGGGCAGCCTCAAGCAGGGTGAGCGTCTGCCCAGAGACAGGAAGAGGAGGAGGAGGGGGAGGAGGGAGAGAGGGAGGGCGGGGCCTCCATGGGAGTTGCCCGGAGTGACCAGACTACTTTTTTTTTTTGGTTCTTTCTGCCAGGCTACCGTCATGTCCATCTCTTGTCTAAAAATGGGGATCAGTATCCATCAGCCACGCTCTTTGTGAAGATCTGCATCCAGGACTAGAGTTGGGGTCTTGGGGTTTGCCCTGATTGGACCAGGCCTTGCATCTGTAGTTAGGGCAAGGTCAGTGTGACCTTGGATCCACAGTTAGGGCAAGGACACTGTGACTGCAGATTCACATCCGGGACAAGGATGTGATGACCACAGATTCACACCTGGGACAAGGATGGTGTGATCCTGGATCCACGCCCAGGGCAAGGATGGTGTGACCACAGATTCATACCTCGGACAAGGAAGGTATGATCCCAGATCCACACCCAGGCCAAGGATGGTGTGATCCCAGATCCACACCCAGGCCAAGGATGGTGTGATCCCAGATCCACACCCAGGCCAAG